CTTCAGGATTGGACTATCTTCATACCAAATGTCAAATTATTCACACTGACATTAAACCAGAAAATATATTACTCGAAGTTGATGAAAATTATATTCGTAGATTAGCGATTGAAGCAACACACTTATCTAAACTAGGAATGAAACTACCCGGTTCTTTGGTTTGCACAGCTCCGCAAGATTTATTTGATACATCAGATAGCACATTAATGACCAATGAGACTAGCAATAAGACATCAGTGAATAAAAACAAAACAATCATGAGAAGAGCTATCTCTTGTCCTGGTAAATTTGAATCAACTTATCGAAATTTTTCATAGCTTAATAATTGCTTTGTCTTTTTACTTCAGATAATCAAAAATCAGTGCCTGATCCTGCTAATGAAATTTGTGATATAAGAGTGAAAATTGCTGATCTTGGAAATGCTTGTTGGATAGTAAGCAATCAATTATTACAGATTATTCATAATAGAGCAAATTTGGTTTCCAGATTCTAAATCAAATTATTTCTCATTCTATTAGGACCACCATTTCACTGAAGATATTCAAACTCGTCAATATCGATGCTTAGAAGTAATTCTTGGTGCAGGTTATTCAGCTCCAGCTGATATATGGAGTACAGCATGTATGGCATTTGAATTGGCTACTGGAGATTATTTATTTGAACCTCATTCAGGACAAGACTACACCAGAGATGAAGATCATTTAGCTCATATAATTGAACTTTTAGGTGACATACCACGGCACATTGCTTTAAGTGGAACGTACTCTAAAGATTATTTCAACAGAAGAGGTAAATAAATACACTAACGTAGTAAAATTATTCAGAGTTTAGATTTTCATGATAAGATGGTTGTTTATTAATTATTTTTGTCTTACTTTTCACAGGTCAACTTCGAAGTATAATATCTTTCAAGCCATGGGGTCTTTTTGAAGTTTTAACTCAGAAATATAAATGGGAACCTCAAATCGCCCAAGAATTTACTGATTTCTTAAAACCTATGCTCGAATATGATCCAGAAAAACGTGCTAAAGCATCAGATTGTCTCGCTCATCCGTTTTTAGCTGACTGTGATACAGATTTATCTTAACGAAAAAGAATTAAAAGATTAACTAAAAGGGAAAATTTTATACTCAGCCTAAAGTTGTGTTTCAAAAAAGTTCGTTGTAAATGTAAATGAGTAATGATTAGGGTGGAAGAAAGAGATTTGCTCTGAAGAAAATATTTGAAGATGTGCGCATTTTTAGCCTTGAGTGTTTTAACTTGTTCGATAGACGAGTATAAATAGAGTGAGTTTTCCAATTGTGGCCATCAGTTCAATCTTTGAGTTAAATCTAGTGATATACTTTCATTTCTCGTGAAAATTTTACTTTGTTTCTTCAAAACTCACACACACACACACCAACACACCTCATCAACATGAAATTCATCATTGTAAACTTTTTGCTATGTGCAACTTTAATTTCAATGGTCAGCGCCTTTAAAAAAGTCAAAGTTGTTGAAGTCGAGAGTAGCAAGGTCCATGGTCAGCGATGACAAAACAAAAGGCTGAAGCTGCTGGTTTAATTGCTGGAACAGCTACTGGATTATTTAAAAAACGCAAATCACCCAAAGTATCTACAAGCCTGTTAAACTTGAGGAGCCCAAAATGAAAATCAAATATATAAGTGTTGTCAAACCAGTGTTGGTACGCGTTGAACCAGAAAAACCTCAAGAGACTTTATATAAAAGGATTGTAACTAAAGAAGAAAAGAAGCCAACTGGACTCAAATACCTTCCCGGTTTTATTAAAGGATTCTTCAAGGGAAAGGTTATAGGAAAAGCAATCTCTAAAACATTGTAATTTACTAAATATTTCAAATAAATTATTAAATATATGATCTACATAATTTTATGTGTCTTCAATTCAGTTATTACGGGAAAAAATTGTTTAGAAGTTTAAACTTTACGCCTTTTGCTTGAGACATTGTAACCATTAGTTACAATGTTACGATCTCAGGTTTCAATATTCAACTCGTTTAGATATAAATTTTGTACACCCAGCATTGATGATTTCAGAATCGAAATGTTGATGGTTTTTACAATGAATGTGGTTAAGTTTCCATTGATGGTAGGCACGTTCTGACAGCAGCTGCTATGTCTTCACCTTGAAACTCAGTTCAAATGAAAGATCTTTCATTTTATTAAATGTAACTAGCAAGCCTTCACATATGAGTTTGAGCAAAGAAAATCCGTACCGTTCAGCTTTTTTTAAGTACTGTGAAATAACTAAACGACTATGTAGAAAGCTTAGCAAAGGCATACATTAGTAAAAATTTTTAGATATCATTAAAAATAACATAAAGATTAGTAAGCAAATTAGGTTCAATACAAATTGAAAATAAGAAAATGCATGAAAATTATTTGGGTATTTCAGCTTTCAAGGGTTCATACAAGTTGAAGTTTAAAAGAGGTTGTTGCTAAAAAGACACGATCAACACAATTGTAACATTTATGCACAAATTGACTGAGTTACTACAAAACAAATGGTCAAAAACGAGTAAAATTTAACTTCTTTCAAATTTAGACTCTGTTAGGTTGTAGGGGCATAAAAACTGAGTCAATTTATGCGAGCTAAAAATCGCTCTGATCAATAGTTCTCGAGATAATCGAGTGCAAAACTGAAAGTTCAAACGTTTTGCTACAAAAATAGAAGCAAATTTTTTCATGAAAACTCCTTTAGTGGTGTAACTTTCGACGATCGACCAGAAAATGGTCTTATTTAGAGAAATAAAATTTTCTGTTTCTGTAAAACAGATCATGTTCGATTTTCAGTTAAACCGAACATCTTCTGTGACAGAAAGAGTTGGAGAGTCAAAATTTATTATCGGTCCATAAAAATTAATGGTACATGCCATGGATCGAATAGCTTTTTCAATTCATCGACAGTTCTTTTGCATTTTGACCATTGGCCTCAAAACTTTGAACGTAAATACGTGCTGACATTATGGTTTAGTATGACTGAATATTGACATCAAAGTTTTAAAACCAATGACCGACTAAGATAATTTAAGAATCGTTTGACTTTGCACCCCTTTTTGCCATTTGTTTTGCAGTATTTGTGTAAATTTGTCCATAAGTGTGACAA